CCCCAAAACCCCAAAACCCCAAAACCCCAAAACCCCAAAACCCCTAACAAGTTAAGAATTATTGAACTGTTCTGCTACATGATTCAGTGACTGCTGTACAAACCTTATGAATAAATATCGAATACAGACTTAGCTGATCCCTTATAATCAAATGACACAATCAGTGGGAATAGCATGCTTTCTTCAGTAGTCGTGTAGAACTGTAGGAGGGAATTACTACTCTCTTCTGTCAGGGCAGAGATCATCCATGAAATCATCCCAGATTTATTATCCAAATTAGAGGTAGAATTATTATCTATTTTGATCAGCTTCGGCTCATCAGAGACCTTAATGAATATATTAATATTAGAAAACTCAGACTTCTTCTCATTATCAGTGTCTTCTTGGTATTCAAGCTCAAGGCTTATCTTTTGCTTACCTCCAGCGGCCTTAGTGGCGAATATGCTAATCTCAAATGGGAGAGATGACTCTACTTCATCAGTGATTTTGTACCTAAATGCACCGAGACTTGAGCCAGGCGCAAAACCAATCTCCTGATCACTAGCAACAATAACTCCATCATTCTTAAATTGTTCCTTATCAATATCTGGATGAATCTTAAACTGCTTAAAATATTCAGGTTTTGGAGTTCCAAAGTCAAATTGAGTAACTTTTTCACTATCTTCTGGAATATCAAACGAGGCTTCTCCTTTTATGACAAACTTTCAGACTTCGCTAAACTTGTTGACCTCTCAATTGATGGACTCTTTAATAGTCAGATCAACCTTTGTATTTTCATCTTGTGCTTCTGGTTCTGGTTCCTTCTCTTCTTCTTTTGGTGTGAAAAAGCTTGATTTATCTTCATCAAATCCAAATCCTTTCCCAAGTTGACTGGCACCTTGAATTTTCTTTGGCTTTCCGAGTTGCATTCCTTTGCTCGTACTCTTGCTGGCTGATCCAAAAGGCTGTTTATCACCACCTAATTTCGAGAATTTAGAAGTAGGCTTCCTCTCTTTCTCAGGAGTGTCAAAAGACTCAGATATGTCATGGTCTTTGCTTGTTTTAGCTTCAAGTTTGTTTTTCTCTTTGATTTCCTTCATTTTCTTGCTAGCAATTTCTTTAGCTTCTTTTTCACGAATCTTCCTCATTTTCATATGCATCTTTTCGTCAGTACTGTCCATCTCGAGATAGGCTTCCAACTGAGACATAGTGACTGAGTCTCTGTAGCCATTAACTGTGATCACATCATCAAATGAGAGAATCAGGTCAAATGCGTGGTTGGATACTTGTTTCTCATTTATTCCTGTATTTCATATTTTTAAGATAATTTTATGCAGTTGCCGAAGAATCTCAGTGTCTTCAATAATATGAGACATTTTGTTCGTGATCAGAACCAAGTACAGGTCATCTATCGGGAGATATACATACCTAACAGAGTCAGTATCAATATAAGTGCATTGAGACCCTAAGAATTAGTAACTAAACCATACCTGACTCTATGAGTTTTGGGAAAGTTTTGATGTACTCCTCCATCTTGAGTTTGGAGATGTCGATGTACTGCCTTCCGACAATAATCTTGCCTTTCTTATCTCAAATCGTTGAGCTGATTACCACCATATTTGTCTTGTGTTTTAGATATATTTTACAATATTTTAAAATTTAGAAGGGGTTTTGGGGTTTTGGGGTTTTGGGGTTTTGGGGTTTTGGGG